AAAAAAAAAAAAAGGAAATACATTTTTCCATTTATTCAAAGCGCAATTTTTTCGTTATCTAGAAGTTTTCCTTTTTGCATTTTTCATGTTATTATATTATTCTAAATGTGAACCCAATAGACATTTTTAAAATACAACATGTATAAACTTATTGTATTATGAACATTTTACTTTTTAATAATTAGCAAAACGAATTTACTAATATGTTGTAGCAAAAATGCTGTGATTTAAATAGAATTTTCAATGAATGAAATGTTATTTGTTTCACTTTTATTCTTTGTCATATTTTGCGCATAAATTTTTTAAATACATTTTCACCTATTGTAAATATATTTTTTTTGTAGAAAAATAATATAAGACAGTTAAAAAAACAATGAAATAAAAAAAGGAGTCCATTTAAACCATCATTTAATGTTGTCTGATACAACAACATACTTAGAGGGTGCCCTCAAAAAAAAAAAAAAAAAGGAAAAATAGTTGTTTTGATGTTCATGCTGAGTTTTTCAAATAATCCATTTTTATATTATTGCATAATTTTAAAAAACTTGTTTATAAAAACTTTATATAAATTTTAGGTCAATAAATATTAGTCATTATACAAAAATGTTTTTTTAATTTAAAAAAAATTATAATTTTTCCATAAAAGAAAAAAAGAAAAAGTACTATATTGTAGAAAATAAAACTATAACCATTAAAATGTGGTTGTATAAATAAAAGACAGTGATTATTAATTAAGAATGCGAAAAAAAAAGGTGGTAAGAAAAAAAGAACGGAAAGGAAAAAGTATAAATTAAAGAAGAATAACAAACAACAGAATAAAAAAAAGAAAAAGCTACATAAATAAAAATTCTTAGTGCTAAAAAAATTACTGTTATAAAATTTATTATATAATATGTATTCATTAACCACCCTCCTTGTGATTCCAAAATAGGAAGTTTTTAATGAAGTAGGTATTTTTATAAATAGCCCTACTACTTCTTACTTTCTAATTTAAGCATCCATGTTACGAGAATGAATGAAAAATATATTAAATATTATTTTGGTTGTTTTATGCAACCTTTATAATTAATTTTAAAAGTGAATATTTCTAAACCTGTTGATAGACTTCTATTTTTCTTAGAATAAAAAAATGTATTAGCTGAAATCTAATTATTGAATAGAAATTAAAAAGGAGATAATATCTATATAACAATTTAAAATTCTTATTTAAATTATTGTAAATACATAACAGTAAAAATTAGAAAGCGCTTACATCCGTTTTCTGTCCTCATTTCTTGCTAACGTGTTTTTTGTTTTTTCTAAAGAATTTTTCAAAAAAAAAAATTCGATTATTTTCTAAATTTGTTAAAAATAAGAAGGAAAAATAAATTATATAAATAATGGATAATGTTTCTATAAATTTTTATTATAAAACAAACGTCACTCCAGAATACAAGTAAAAAAAAATGAGGATATTTAAAATTAAAAAAGCTAGCTTTTTTCATCACTGCACCGTGTTCTTTAAATACTACTGCTTTTGAGTTTTTAGAACTACGTTTTTTTGAATGTAGAACAATGGCAATAGATAATTTCTTTTTTTTAAAAAAAAAAAAAAAAATATTACTATTTTATTTTTTTTTATGTTCTTTTACAATTTTATTTATTATTAATTGTAGAAAAACTTTTCCTCTAAATATGCATAGCAAGTTCTAAATTTTTATATTTTTAAAGAAATAAAATTATAAACAAGGATGAACAATTTAAAAAATTATTTCTTTTGTATTCTTTGATAGTTAATAAAAAATATTACAACAAAAAATAATTAAGGATTTTTTTATTTGCTGTTATTTTTTGAAAAATTATTGTAATAATTATATATATAAAAACGATAACCTAATAGTTAAAAATCTATAGTATAATATTTTCTTTCCTTAATTTTTTTCAATTTTAAATTAGTCAACAAGAACATATAAAAATTTTAGTTATTTATATTACCACAAAATGAAAGGATTATACAAAATTCTAGCTTTAACTGGTTCCTTATTTGTTTTATCTAGCTGCTTTCTCTCTAATGGTGTCTCGACTTCTGTATGATAAAAGAAAAGAAATACTTATAAATTTATTATACATACTAAAACAGTCTTAATAAGCATTATTAACAATTTTTATGTTTGAGAAAAAAGCATCTATTTATGCGCACATATATATATATATATATATTTATTCATATATATATGCATATGTTCTTTTGTAAAAACATCTATTTTTAGGAAACTAAGAAGAGGAGAACTGGACGTATCCCATGTACTATAGCTGACCTGGATGCAGAAGGAGTATATTCTGTGTCCGAATGGAAAAAGAAAAAATGGACTGAATTTATGGCATTATTAGAGAATGATTTTAAAGAATTTAATGATTATTTGGAAAAAGAAAAAAATAAATGGATAAAAGAAATAGATAATGCCTTGGAACAATGGAAAAAAGATACAGAAAAAAAATGGGATGAATATGATGAAGCCACTTTTAACGAATTATTAGGTCATAAAGCACAAGATGCATTAAATTGGAGTGACAAAGAATGGACAAATTGGATAAGTAAAAATGGAAGATTAGCAATAAAAGCAGATTGGAATAAGTGGATTGAAGAGTGTGAAAACTCCTTCAAAGTTGGAATTTCTGATGATTGGGAAAAATGGAGTTCTTTCAAAAAAAGAGAATACGACATCACTGAATGGAAATTTTTAGAAGATATATTTTGGCCACACTGGAAAAGGCATGTAAAACCTGAAGAACCCTTGTATGATATAAAGATAAATATGATGGAAAAATGGCAAGATCGAATTAAAGGGGAAGAAGAAGAATGGTCAAATTGGATAGAAGATAAGAAACAAAAATATATAGATGTAGAATGGGATAAATGGACACAATGGAAAAAAGACAATAACATGAAGTTTATTGATGTGATGGAATCCATCGTAAAAAAATGGACGGATAATAAACACTGGAACGTATGGGTTGCACAGAAAAAAAATAGTAGCTAATTATAAGGTTGTTACATAGATTAGTAATGAAGTAGCACGTGAAGAACATACATGTTGTTAAATATATTTATACATTTCTCATTAATTAGTAAAAGTATGATCTTACAAAGCGACAGATTTATGGTAAACACGTGAAAAATGACATTAATTACAATATAAAATTGACGTGCAAATGATGAATTGGCTCAATTTTGTTTATATAAAACCTATCTCTATAAATTGTACAAAAATATCAAAAACTTATAATAGTAATAAAACTATGTATGCGTGATTAATGTTAACGGCCTAAAAATACAAGAGTTAAAACAAATCAGGCAAAATAATATATCAGAAGAACATGTTTACAAAACCTTTTTTTTTTAATTTCCTTGAATAAGGTTTAAACCATTTTTTATTAAATTATGCACCTAATTTTATAATACTGCAATAATAGTGCGTTTGTTTGTGTGAGTTTTTTTCTTTTTTTAATTTTTCTCACCCTTTTTAGCATAAATCTCTATTCTTTTTTTTCTAGTGATATAATTTTTTTTTTTTTTTTTTCGTTTTAAAAATAACTTGTTTTTCCACGTTTGTCCTTTTTTTTATTTACATTAAATATAATTTTGAGCAATATAGCTTATTTACAGTTTATGCATTATAAAGCGATATATCACATTTTTGTTTGTAAATAATTTTGCATATATATGTCCTTGTAATGTTGTTAGTATGATATTTCATGAGAAATATATATATATATA